TGGGGGGGGAAGGGGGGGGGGGGGTGGGGGGGGAGGGGGGTGGGGGGGAGTTATGGTGGGAAAAAAAGAGGAACCAATGCAATAATCTGAACAATAAAGATTTAATTAAAAAAATAATTAACTTAATGAATACTCTGTACTTACTTTTATTTTTGAAAGGTTATTTCCAATAAGTGATACACAATCTCAGAGAAACATCTGAGTTTGAGTTTGTACTTTACTGTTTTGGTTTGTAGTGGATGGGTAACACTTCTTAAATTTGTCTCTAATCACAAACATTTCTGAAGAATTGATTTCTCATCAAAACCAACCTTCCAATGAACGGTTGAGAAATTGAGGACCAAACAAGACCTCAAACCTTAAGTTGTCCTTCTTATGCCACTTTAAGAGCTTTCCAGGTCAGTTCTTCCTTACAGAGGGATTCCATTTCTCCTAAATCAGTCTCCTGTAGGCAACTCGGGTCATTTCTCTTGACAGGTCAAAATATGAGGCAATTACTGAGGAATTACTTTGTCAAAATAGTTATTCCTTTGTGTGACATGCTAGATTCCTATGGTTATATCTGATCATTTCTATTTTGTAATACTACCTAACTTTACATAAGCCATAGCATAATAAACTATTTTTTGCATAAAAATGATGTAATTTGGGGAAAATCAAAAGTGAAAACAGAAAAAAGACTACTATTACAAACACCTAGGCAGTTTGTGCATCTGTAAAATGGTTATATTAATTAAACTGACCTTATAGGATTGCTGTAAGAAGTAAAATTAAATTATAAATAGAAAAATACTTAAACATTGGTTATCAATACTAATTAATTATTATAATTACCTTTTAAAATGCATCCTTTAAAATTTAATGATGGGCTGGCCATAACTGAGAGCCAATTAAATCAGAATTTCTACACATAAGTCCTTTGGGCCTACTAACATATAGCCAATGCAGGGAACCATTGCCAGGCTATTAATAAATGGTGTATTAATGTTATCAATTGCTATCAATACCATATTACCCACTACCCATATTAAAATATGAATATTTAATAATATGTGCTATAGAACTTATTTATTATTGATAAAACTTGAGGGTATTTTGTTATCCCTGCATAATCTTCCTCTGCACTCAGTTGTCCAAAAGCGAACTCTGTCATTTGATGGATGCATTTTCCTTTCAATGTTTTTATAACATTAGTATTGAATATGTATTCACGAGCAGTTTTCTGAAAAACTTACCTTTCCCAAGAAACTAGAAACACCAATCAGAAAGGATATATGCACCCCTATGTTCATAGCAGCACAATTCACCATAGCTAAGATTTGGAAACAGCCTAAGTGCCCATCAGCAGATGAATGGATTAAAAAACTGTGGTACATCTACATAGTGGAATACTATGCTGTGGTAAAAAAGAAGAAACGTTTACCATTTGCAACAGCATGGCCATTTGCAACAGCATGGATGCATCTGTAGAGCATTATGCTAAGCGTAATAAGTCAGCCAGAGAAAGATAAATATCACATGATCTCACTCATTTGTGGAATATAATGAACAACGTAAACTGATGAACAAAAACAGATCCAGAGACAGAGAAGCATTGAACAGACCGTCAAACCTCAGAGGGAAGGTAGGGGAGGGTGGAGGTAAGGGGAAGAGATCAACCAAAGGACTTGTATGCATGCATATAAGCCTAACCAATGGACACAGACAACAGGGGGGTGAGAGCATGAGTGGGGGTGTTGGAGGGACAATGGGGGCATAAGACACATATGTAATACCTTAATCAATAAAGAAATTTTTAAAAATTTAAAAAAGAACTTACCTAAATACTCTCATTCTACATAAACTATTCCCTAAGTTCTCATTTACCACAATATTGCTTTTAAGTCTCTCTGTGAAATACATACTTCAATTTCAGC